CAAAAAAAATGGCTGTAGAGAGGCTCCCAACGGAGAAACTGACTGACAGAAATTGCATCAACCTATTTCGATGGGAAATTAATATAGTAATACTCAATAAATGTAGGCGTAATGTAAAGTTTGAAATGGTTTAGTGTTTGCTGCTAATAGAGCAAAAGAGATCTAAACATCCTAATTCGTAGTTCATTTTTTTTTTTGCATCAAAACCTACCATGCGCCGCATTCTTGCTGTGTACTTCTGAGCAACATCATTTATATAGGCATTTGCGGCTTCGTAGCCGGTACATGAGGCTCTCAGAGGCTTGGGCATCTAAAGTATGTGTTTAAGATATTTATCAAATAAAAATGATAAATAAGAGTTTTAAGCATTCGCTTTACTGCATGACAGGAGGCAAAGCGGCAACAACGGCATTCGTGATAAAAACCCTTTTGAACAAAGTATTTTTTGCTCTTGATCAGTAAAGCAACACAGTTTATCAACATGCGCCCAAGCGAAACCTTTAAGCACTTTCATGACTAAAAACCAGCAGGAATGACAAGTTCACATCTGCCAAAGAAAGAGCGATGGCTGTAGATCTAGTAAATTCAGAACTTTTCTGCTTAGCCGTGTCAGACTCCATAGCAAATCCTCTTGATACAAAACGGGTAGCAACGATGGGAAGAAAAAGGCGGTTTTAGAATGGAAAATTTTCAAGATACAGTACGTCCGACAACTTTTTCTTTCTGATTAGAAGATTGTACCATTTAGAGTCGGCTATTGGTTTTTTAAAACCAAAACGGCGGAGACTTTGTCCTACAATAAACCGAAAAATCGAAACGTAGCATGAATCCGAAGATTTGCTATACAATTGAGCCAATTTGCTCATTTCGCGTTCAAATTCTACGGCTTGTTCTCAAGGCTTGTCCCATGGGATATAGTTATTTGATAGATGATTTACTGCCAATGTTCCCCCCCTCCCCCCTCTCGCGGACTACTTACCCATTTCAACGTTTTGAAATTATTAGAAGTATGGACCACGAAATGAGAAATTTCAAAATTGGCTAGCAAACACATTAAAATCTCTAT